AATATAAATATTTTAAATAAATATTTATATACCACTTATATTTTAAAAAATCTCAAAGTACTTTTCATTTTCTATACACAGACAATATAATTTTCAAGCATTGCAAATAAATAAACTGAGTTGCTCCAGTTGAAAATCTGAAAACATTGTATTTGATAGTGCACATTCAATTTCTACTAATGTGCAAATTCTGATTAGAGAATCAAATTAACAAGCCCCACAATTTCCAGGAATGAGGGTCAGGAATAGGGGCTCATATATGGGAAAATTTGTAAAGGATACAGGATTGTATGATTTGCCTAGTTCCTCTCCTCAGCTAAATGTAACTGTTCTTTCACAGTAGAAAGCCCATCATTCCCCCAGTGACAATCATGCAAAATATGCTTTCTGAACTATGTGATGTACGACATGTGGCATATGACAATTTACAACATAGTAATACTTAGAGGGAGATGGCATAATTGGCATCACAGTCTTAAGCAGTGTTTCTCAATCTCAGCAACTTTACGATGTGTGGACTTCAACCCCCAGAATTCCCCAGCCAGCAATTCCCCAGCCAGAATTTCCCAGCTGGCTGGGGAATTCCAGGAATTGATGTCCACGCATCTGAAAATTGCTGAGGTTGAGAAACACTGGTCTTAAGGGAGGCTCAAAGTTTGCCTATTCATGCTGGCTAAAGAAGGAGGTAGACTCAGAAATTTCTGAAAACAGACAGAACTAAGGGCCTAATCTGGCCCCTTTACAGTAAGTGGATTAAAAGCTGCCTGCCCCATTGTAAAAAGTACCATTGGACTGGAAGGATCACTGGGGAGGAATTGTTGCTACATACATCCTAACCCTTCCTGAACTGCTACCCAGGTAGGTAAAGGTTGCTCTACCCCACACTAGGACTATTTTTCTTCCTGATTTTATATTTCTTTATGTGCAAGGGATTCTTAATGCAATGTGAAAGTGTATGGGACACAAACAAAACATGCGATGGCCTGGTAAGGAATTACCATTTCAAATTACCCTGATGTAATGCATTAAAAAGCCATCTGAAAGCTATTTATATGGCTACAATGTGAACTTTATTGGTCTTTATGCAGATACAAATGTCTGTAACAATTTGGTTATAGTTTGGTTTGGTTAATTTAACTTTGTTCTATATTTTTCATTAGTTTATAAACCTTTTCTTTATATACTTTTTATTTACTGTATAAATAAATAAAAAGTATACAATATTGCTTATACAGTATACAATACATATATATTGTATATTTCTACACATTTCTATAATATCTATGAATATTAATGAATAATAATCATAATTAGAACAACAAACCTTGGCATTAAATTCAGCAAGAAAATCAAAATGTTTCTTGAGATCTGTTGCAAGGATTGCTTCAATCACTAAGAATCGAAATCGTTTGAACTGCACATGATCAAGATTAGACAGAAAATTGTATTCTGGTACAGATAAGAAGAGACTCCATGCAGAGGCTGCATGATGATTTTCTAGAACTGATTTATCATTGTATAATACAGCCTGCAAAATAATTAGTACAAATATTTTAAAAAGTGAAATTTCACAAAACTCTAATAGCTATTTAATATTATCATTGAGAAACTGAATTTTATATGGGAAAAATTATACTGAGCAATTCAGCCTGCAAAATAATTAGTACAAATATTTTAAAAAGTGAAATTTCACAAAACTCTAATAGCTATTTAATATTATCATTGAGAAACTGAACAAAACAG